TAGATATGGGCACTACGAGTTCATAGTGATGCCCTTTGGACTAACCAATGCGCCAGCTACATTCCAGCGCTGTATGAACGATTTGTTTAGGCCGTGGTTAGATAGATTTGTTGTAGTTTATCTGGATGACATTCTAGTGTTTAGCAGGACCCTCGAAGAGCATCAGGGTCATCTCAGGCAGGTCTTGGAGAAGCTGAGGGAAGCTAACTTCAAGATCAATGCAAAGAAGTGCGATTGGGCAAGGACCCAAGTTCTGTACCTAGGCCACGTCTTAGACGGAGACGGCGTTAAGCCAGAGGATAGCAAGATCGCAGCAATTAGAGATTGGCCCACGCCACGTACGCTGACCGAGTTACGCTCGTTCCTGGGCCTAGCTAATTACTATAGGAAGTTCGTGAGGAACTTATCCACCATCGCTGCGCCCCTTCGCAGATTGCTGAGAAAGGAGACCATCTGGAAGTGGGATAAGGACTGCACGTCTGCCATGAAGAAGTTAAAGCAGGCATTGATAGAGTATCCAGTCCTTAAAGTCGCTGACCCGTCCTTGCCCTTTGTCGTCACGACCGATGCGAGCCAATATGGCATAGGTGCAGTGTTGCAGCAAGACGATGGCAATGGGTATAGACCCGTTGAGTTCATGTCCGCCAGGATGCCTTCAGAAAAGGTCGCAACATCTACCTATGAGAGGGAACTCTACGCTCTCAGGCAAGCGTTAGACCACTGGAAGCACTACTTGCTTGGGAGGTACTTCAAAGTCTATTCCGATCATGAGACACTGAGATGGTTAAAGACGCAGGCCAAGATGACACCTAAGCTTACTAGGTGGGCCGCWGAGATAGATCAGTACGACTTCGAGCTCAAGCCTGTCAAAGGGAAGTACAACGTAGTCGCGGATGCTCTGAGTAGAAGAGCTGATTATTTTGGGGCAATAGTACGTTACCTCGATATAGGGAAGGACCTGCAACAGAAGGTTAGAGAAGCCTACGGGCAGGACCCTATCTATAGTGAGCTCCTTAAGAAGGCCAAGGAGGCCCTAGAGACTGAACCGAACTACCGCACTACTGAAGGGTTGCTTTTTGAGAAGACTAATGTATTTGACCGTTTGTGCATCCCCAATAGCGAAGAGATTCGTAGTCTGATTTTGGGAGAATGCCATGACACAGAGGGTCATTTTGGTTGGCAGAAGACTTTAGCCAACCTGATGCGCGCATACACCTGGCCAGGGATGAAGAATGACTGCGTAGAGTATGTTCGCAGTTGTAAGGTTTGCCAGCGTAATAAGAGTCGCACGCGAGCGCCGTTAGGTCTTCTCAGACCCTTACCGATTCCAGACCTGTCAGGAGACTCAGTGTCCATAGACTTCATGGACACTCAAGTCAAGAGTAGGCATGGCAAGAGCCAAGTCATGGTCATAGTTGACCGTTTCAGTAAGTATGCCGTTTTTGTTCCTTTGCCTTCAGAGGCACGTACAGATTTAGTTATACAGATATTCTTTGACTTTTGGGTGAGCGAGAATGGAATCCCACTGTCTATAGTTAGCGACAGAGATAGTCGCTTTACTAGCCAGAACTGGCAAGAACGAATGGGAGTATATGGATCTAAGTTGTTGATGTCGTCCGACCGTCATCCAGAGAGTAACGGTCAGACAGCGCAAATGAACAAGATCCTACAGCAAGTTTTGCGCATGTACATTAGGCCAGATCAGATTAACTGGGACGAGATGTTGCCTAAAGTAGCTAGTGCGTACAATAACAGCGTGCATCTAGCCACCTGCCGCACCCCCAACGAGTTGCACAAGTCCTTTAGACCGCGCAGACCGTTTGAGGGACTCAACCGGGATCAGATTCACAGATTGCCACCCGGGACCAGGGAGTTTGCTGTGCAACATGAGAAAGAACTAGCTACTGTAGTAGAGAACCTCAGGAAGGCCCAGCACAGACTGATAGAGCAAGCCAATAAGCATCGTCGCCCCTCACAGTTCCAAGTAGGCGACTTAGTCTAGGTCAGTTCTAAAGAGTTTGCACCTGAGGAGAGCATCTCGCAGAAGTTACTGCCCACCTATAGAGGACCGTGGCCAGTCTTAGAAGTCAAGGGCGGTGAAGATGGACCGTCCTATACCACAGAACTCCCAGCACACCTCCACACGTATCCAGTTTTCCACGCATCAAAGTTGTTACCGTGTCAAACAAGTGATCAGTTTCCATCTCGTAGGTCGATGATCCCACAGGATATGGATGGAAGATACGACATTGATGGGATAGTGGCTGAAGACGTATTCCGGACTGGAGGTAGGGGTCGTCCACAGAAACAATACAAGGTTCACTTTAGTTATCAAGAACCGGAAGACGACCGCTGGTTTACAAGGTCTGAACTTCTAGAGACAGCTCCCGATATAGTCCGAGCCTACGAGAGACAGCAGAGGGGTAAAGGTCCTGCCTTGGACTGAAATTTTCTCGGAGGACCTCGAATTTAGGCCGTCGGGAGTGAAACGGTACTCACCAGTTCGCAGTAGCGAATGCAGATCCCAGGGATTGATCCCTAGATCCCCATCTTACCTGTGTACAGTACTGATGGCAACCCGTAGATTTGAACCTGTAACCTGTCGAAACGCCAGTGGTAGGTAGATTGTTGTAGCTCACAGCTTAGAAGGGAATCGAACTGTAGACTTGTAGGGTAGGAGTCTAGACAGTTCCGAAGTCGTAGTTGTAGGTTGTCTGAAAGGTCA